AAATGATGTAATAAATCTTTAGAATTATCACAAGCTTAATTTGATATCTATATATTAAAAGTACAAGAAAAAAAATTATTTTTGTTTGAATATTGTTATTTTTTATTTTTTATTTTATGTAAAATTTATACGTTATTTTAAATTTCTTAATAATTTTGTATACATTAATTTTTTAAAAAATTATAAAAAAATAAATCATTATAAAACATATGAAATTTTGATATAGAATTATTAATTATGTATACAAACCTTATAAAAAATGTATCATTTCCTTATTTCGATTTCTTATAAAGTATCATATACTGTAATATCATCATTACTGAAATAAGTTTTCTTTCTTTTTTTCATTTTCATTTTCAATTATGATTTTTTTACAAATATGTTTTTTATTATTGAATTATTATAAATAAAATTTAAATTTAAAAATATATATATTTCACATTTGCTTTATTTATTAAATAAATTATATTATGATAAGCCCGCAATTAATCATAATATCGTAGTTTTGAAATATAATTGAGTAATATTTACTATACAATCACATAGTTGACAATTAACCTTAAAATATCCTAGAAATATAATGTTAATAAGTGTTCCTAAAAAAAAACTTTAGCCGATTATGACTAAATAATATAATTATATTATTTAGTCATAATCAGTTTAGAGTAGGTTATTTAGTAATAAAATAATCTAGATACAACTAAATAATTTAAATATGACTAAATAATCTAGATATAACTAAATAATTTATATATAACTAAATGATCTAAAGTTAATAATCTAAATATGATTAAATAATCAAATTAAATAACTTAAGTATGACGATTTTATACCTTTTTATTTTTCTTATTATATTCCTTACCTTTGAAATTACTTTTCTTTACCCCTTTCTTATTTATTATTTTTGATCATGCGATTAAATAATCTAAATATGAATATGATAAAATAATCTGAATATGCCTATTTTTATTACATGTTGTGCGTCAATAAATGCTTTCTATTATAATTTACGCTGGTGGGTTTCTATGGTTGATTAGTTGTTGAGTTTTATGTTAGAGATACAGGTTGTCTGTCTATGTTTAGATTCCAAGTTCTATGTTGAAGTTTTTGCTCTTCTGTGCCTGATTAGATACTGGATTCTATATTGGGAGTGTTTATCTTTTGCACCTATTTGGTTACCTTTTAAAATTCTGAAATAGTGTAAAAAAAGAGATAACAGGTGGCGTGATAAATTTGCGATTAATTTTGGCCAGCTCTATGATATAACTCTGCCTGATCTTTTGCAAATATGATTTGAGAATCCAATTTGGTATCGTGATAGCATCATGATAGTGTCTTGTTGGTGTCATGGAACTCTCCTAGAACTGTTATTGAACTGGAGGAGTGCTAGAGAGATTATATTAGTTTACCAGTTTTATGCTAGATTGGATGCTAAAATATTATATCTAAAGTTTTGGCTGAAGTTATGGAATAGTGCTGACCGAAATTAAGCGAATAAGTCTTATACGAAGGCTATACTATACTCAAGTACATATCTAAGAAAAATGAAGCCTTCTTCCAATTTTTTTATATAATAATTCTTAAGAAGGCTTCATTTCCAGATACATATCTGTTTCCTTTTTATTTACAATTTGCTTACTAGATTATTATACGTCTCTTTTTTTGAAGGACGAAAAATGCGTCAGAGATATTTGAGAAATATTTGAGTAATATTTGGGTTTGGTTAGAGGTAGTCTTTTGCTAATATTTTATATAATAGATTTCACACTTACCTACCCTTATATTTGCATATTAAGAACGTGCTTATTCCCATTTTTTTTACCAATTTGCTATACATCTCTTTTTGGTCCTATAATTTCGATGACTCAGATACATACCATCAAGATGTAGCCTTTATGCCACATCTGAGTACATACCTAGAAAATGAAGTCTTCTTCCAATTTTATATATAATATTTCTGAAGAAGACTTCACTTTGATGCAATAATTCATCTGATCTTCTTTCGTATTTTGGCATCTAAGTTTGCTATTGCTTCTTTTTTCGATGAATAAAAAAAATAATTATACATTTTCGAAATATATTGAGATAATATAACTTTACTTACTGATATCATACATACCCCAATTATTTTTGACCAAACTGATCATACTAGAACTGACCCAACACTCACTTGCTATAACAGCACTGAGTTTTTAGTTGGTATTTCATCACATAATAATATTGTGACAGAATTTGATAATAGGATGACCACTATACTTTAACAAAGCCTATCCGGTAAGCAACCTAAACATTTCATACCTACTGAAGTTAGTGATAATACCAAATATGTAAATGGGCTCTTCACCTATATTTTGCGTATTACCAGTAAATTAATTAATGGGCAAAAGGCAATCATAAATATTACAGGCATTCGACTCTTCTTTGATATCAAAGTGCCTGAAAAGATGCTGTTACCTATGTTTAAGATCAAATTAGTAAGGATACTATCTAATATTCTCAATAGTACATCAAAGTTTGGGATTGAGATTATTAGCGCTTTTCCACTTCAAGGATACCATACAGAAAAGAAACCATATATCTGTGTGAGAATATGGAACCACTATGACTAGAACAATGCATTAAAAGCAATTCGTGCTATTGGAATGTATACAGCCTCGAATGATCTAAACTGTCAATACTATTATCGTAAAGTAGCCTGTGAAGAGAGATTACCTCTTTCAAGCTGGATTATATTGAGTAATTATTTATATAAATACATTCAGGGGGGTACTGATCTCTTCTGAGTATCTGTGAATAATTACAATCCAATAAGCGATAATGAGTATAATAATTCATTATTTTTCTCAGCACTTTCACGGGATTGCACTCTTGTTCTCACGTGGGATATTGAGACATATAGCTCACAAAAAATAGGTGAGGTGCCTAATACAAAATACGAAGAAGACGTTGTGTTCATGATTTGTATGACTGTTCATTGGAAAAATGATCCTGAACCGTTAAAACAAATCTGTCTTATCAATAGTTAGACCTACGCTTAATCATAGTTGTATATGGGAACTAAACTAATTTACTGAAAGTATTTGCATTATGTTAGAAATGTTTTGCTTTGGATATACATATAGGTTTTAATGATTCACAATATAACTGGCCATTTATTGTAGAGAAGATGAAAAAGTTAGGCATACTCAAATGGATGTTCAATCATATGTCACTAAAACCTATGAGCCTTGAAAAGATTACAAAATAGCAATATCAATATAACATGATAAAAGTAAATGATAGGAACTTATATTCGAGAGATCTTAAAATTCCTGGATGTGTGGCTATTGATGTCTGACCCTGTTTTAAGAAATTCTACCCTAAAGCTGAAAAAAGTAGCCTAGCATATTACTTAAAGGAGTGTAACCTTGATAACAAAGTGGATTTGCCCATTTACCACATGAACAAATATTATGAGATGGCATTTAAGGAAACAAATGCTACAACGGCTGAGCAGATGCGTAAAATAGCCGAGTATTATATCATTGATGCTCTTAGTTGCCAGTGGTTAATGATTAAGCACAATGTAATTAATGAGTATAGGGAGGTTGCAAGCATAGCATTTATATCATTATTCGATACGCATTATTTTGCAATAGGAATGAAAGTGAGCAATCTTTTAAGTGCTAGTGCATGGCGGGAAGGAATTTTAATCAGTACAATTTCAGAGTGAATGGAAACAGAGTCATTCCCGGATGCCCATGTCTTCCCACCAATAAAGGGGCTTGAAAATAAACGTCCTGTAACTGGCTTAGACTTTGCATCATTATATCTGAGTCTCATTATGACTTACAACCTCTCACTTGATAAAATTATTTTATCTCGAAAACGTGCTGAGTCTCTGAGAGATAGTGGCAAAAGCCTTCATAAAATTAATTTCAAATTCAATGGTAATGATATTCTTGCATGGTCTATAGAACATAATAATATTCCTGAAGA